ATATATATGTATGTATATATACGTAGCCTTAAACTTTAACCCCAGCTATAAGCCAAGACAAGAATTAAGATGCTAAAGTGGAAGCAATCTAATGCTAAAACCCAGATTTTATTTAAACTTTAATTCTGTGGTGTTGTTTAAAGACGGGTGTGGAGTTACAGRGATTTTGTCCTGAGTGAATATCTCAGACGTGACTGGCAGCACAGCAGCTGTACCTGAGGCATACTCCAGTTTTTTTTAAAGATGTTTGTACATCTTTAAAAATACGCAACTTCTTCAAAGAGGTGAGCATGTTAAATTAATTTAATTATTTCCAGTCCCTTAATATTACATCTTATCTCCAGGTTGTTGAGCTAAAGCCTCATTTTGCTTTGGCCAATCATCTCCTTAGAAATAACTGAACTGAATAAAGATTTATTGTCCTAATAAGTGTGTTAAGATGGTTTCTTGATGTCAGATCGAACCCACTACTGCTTTAAAACTAAATTTTAGCTCTCAGTTCTCCATCATTAGGAACTAAAGTGATTAGGAAGACCTACCTGCCAGAGTCCAAAGAATCAGCAAGTGACACTTCATGATGAGCGAGCTTCTGGATGCTTTATGATGAAATAAGGAAACACTTTGAGTTTGACACGAGCAACAGAAAACACACTGCAAGAAAAAAATTAATAAATGGAAGGCAGCCATTTTCTGCGTCTCGTCAACCATTTTATTCGACTAAACCACAGTCAGCTCGCAATCAACGACAACCTTTTTGGTAGCTTTTACCACACGATCAATAAAAGTAATTAAATATAGACAAACTCCAGCTTTTAATGACTTGTAAAAACTAAAAAGAAAAAACATTGTTTTATGGGTTTATGGGTTACGAGGTAAACAAAAGCATTTTCAAAATTATCTAAAAGAAATAAAAGGTACATTTGTATATTAATGATCCCACATATTAAAACAGTACTGACCTGAAAGCAGTGTTGCTGTGTTTCAGCTGTTAAAGCATCCAGTTTCTGGCTGCTGTCGAAGCGTCTCCTTCTGTTTGAGTGTAAAGGAAGTAACTCTGATTGGTTTGTCGTGGGTCTCACCAGTTCCAGCTATGTTCAACACAAACTGTAGTTGTTCAGCATGAGCAACACCAGAATTTCAGGGCTTGTATTTATAGTTGTGGAGTAATTATTATAGTGATAACACTGTTTTTGTGAGTTTAATTGAAGAAAAAATAGAATAATTTGTGCATTTGCTACAAATAAATCCTCAACGAGTCGTCACTTCAAGGTTTAAACTCAATGGATTTGATATTTAAGTTAAATGAGAGTTTGAATGCAACCAAATAACTATGAATTAAGTTTTCTCCTCCCCGCTGTTTCCATTCTCTATTTCCCCATCAAACCCCGAGCGCCAGTAGGAAGGTTAAAAACATTGATTATGAAGATAAAGTGTTGGGTTTAACGCAAACGACTGCAGTTGTTCTGGGAAGTGCGTGGCGGTAATGAGCCGCTCCATCTGGTACAACAAAGAAACAAACACAACCACGCTTGTTCACATGAATATTTCAAGTCCCCATATGTTTTAAATGCCTCCTCCACACCCATCCCCCTGTGTGTGTGTGTGTGTGTGTGTGTGTGTGTGTGTGTGTGTGTGTGTGTGTGTGTGTGTGTG